AGCCTGCGGTCGTCATTAGGTGGTTCTGCATCATAGCCTCCTAGCGCACGCAAAGTGTGGCTTCAACCTCGAGCATGCGGTCGTCATCGGGCAGTTCCGCTCCGTCCCCTCCCAGCGCGCCAAGTGTGGCTTCAAACTCCACCACCCGATCGCCCACGGACGGCCCTGCTTCCACTACTTCGAGCTCGGGCTCGTCTGCCGTGTCCGGCATGGTCGCCGCTCCACCATCGCCAGTGCCTGCCCGGCAGATGGTTATGTGCGCTCAACATGGCGTCTTCAAGCCGAACCCTCGCTACTACGACGCTGCGTCCGCCGTCACCACGCCGGCGATCTCTCCGGTCCCAAGCTCTATGCATGCAGCCGTCTGGGATCCCCACTGGCTCGCCACCATGCGCGACAAGTATGACGCACTCGTGCGGAACCGCACCTGGGAGCACATGTCGCGGCCTGCCGGAGCCAACCTCATCACCCGCAAATGGATCTTCAAGCACAAAGCCAACACCAACGGCTTCCTCGCTCGCTACAAAGCCCGGTGGGTTGTGTGTGGCTTTCGCCAGCGCGCGGGCATTGATTATGGTGAGACGTTCTCGTCGGTCTTCAAGCCGGCTACCATCTGAACGGTGCTCACTTTGGCGGCGTCGCGTGGTTGACCGGTGCACCAATTCGACATCTCCAATGCCTTCTTGCATGACAACCTGGAGGAGGAGGTCTACTGCCTCCAACCTACCGGCTTCGTCGACAGCACTCGTCCCGACCATGTCTGTTGCCTCTCCAAGTCCTCTACGGCTTGAAGCAGGCGCTTCGTGCGTGGTTTCTTCGCTTCGCTGGCTTCGTCAAGATGCCCGGTTTTGCCGCCACGCGCTCGGACTCCTCCCTTTTCGCGCTCTGCCATGGCATGGGCACGTCGTACCTGTTGCTCTATGTCGACGACATCGTGCTCACCACGTCCACCCCGGGCGTGCTTCATCGTGTGGTTGCCGGCCTCACCAGCGAGTTCACCATGAAGGACCTTGGGCCTCTCCACTTCTTCCTGGGCATCAAGGTGACACGGACGCCCGCCGACTTCTTTCTCTGTCAACAATAGTACGCCGAAGAGGTCCTCGATCGTGCTGGCATGGACACATGCCGCCCCTCGCCGACCCCGATCGACACCAAGAGCAAGCTCCCGACCACCGATGGGCCCCGTGTGGACGACGCCTCCGCCTACTGCAGCATCGCCGGTGCTCTCCAATACCTCACCATCACCAGGTCGGAGATCGCCTACGCGGTCCAATAGATTTGCCTCCACATGCACGATCCATGCGTGTCATCTTGTGTTGGTCAAGTGTGTGCTCCGGTACGTGCGTGACACGGCCCACCTCGGTCTCCATCTGCGCACCTCTGCCACTCTAGACCTTCGTACCTTCACTGACGCCGACTGGGCGGGCTGCCCCGACACGCGCCGCTCCACCTCGGGCTTCTGTGTGTACCTTAGCGATGCCCAGGTCTCCTAGTTGTCCAAACGCCAGGCGACGGTCTCGCGCTCCAACGCGGAGGCCGAGTACCGCGACGTTGCCAATGCAGTGGCAGAGTGCGTGTGACTTCGACAACTGCTTGACGAGCTCTTCGCGTCGGTCACCAAGGCGACCCTGGTCTTCTGCGACAATGTATCAATGTTGTACCTATCTGCCAACCCCGTCCACCATCGATGCACGAAGCACGTGGAGCTGGACATTCACTTCGCTCGCGAGTGCGTGGCTCTCGGCGAGTTTTGTGTCCTCCATGTGCCCACGTGCCAGCAGCTCGCCGACATCATGACCAAAGGCCCCTCGTCGGATGTTTTCTCTGAATTCCGATCCAGTCTTTGCGTCGCTCTCGCTGACGATGCGATTGCCAGGGGGGGTATTAGCCTACTGTGTACCGTAGTCATGCCATTGCGTATGCGCTCCTGTATAGTCTTCGCGTACGCACGCATGCTAGAGATCGTGCAGCCAGGTAGTGGCACACGTTGAGGTAGTTGTCCACCCCATGATCACCACTAGGCAGTGGCCGCTCCAAGCCGTACAAATATCCCCTGCATGTGCATAATCAAAGTGTGGTGTGATTCTCCTAATCTCCTCTCCTAACAGCTGGGTTGTCCATGCCCGAGTTTAGTGCGGACCATGGCGGCAGGCGGACGACGAGGTTGAAGTGGGATGGTGTGCGCACAAGGTCGCGATAGCAGCTCAGAAGTGGTAGAGGGGTAGAAAATGGGGCGGCTAGGGTTTACCCTTGTCGTCCGGTTTAAATAGTCGGGTTTGGTCTCTCGGGTGATGCCGAAGCAGCTACATGAATGCGGACTGGTGAGCTCCGGTGGAATGATGGTTTCCTCGCAAGTCTCGCCCGTTAGTCTGACATGACAGACGCTTCCGGGCATATCCGGGCCACCTCATTTTCGCCACACATATGAGCTGTGTTTGAGGGGTGTCATTTTTTTGACATCAATTGAGGGGTGCCGTTAGCCGAAACATTCGGAGTGGATATAAGGGAGTTGGTTGGGGGCAATATGATTCCGCAGTGAGAGCATCTCCAGCCGTTGGCCCCCCCAGGACGCATAAAAATCGCCCCCTGGGGGCGAGCCGGCAATACAATCAGCGCTGGGGGCGGTTTTGCGCCCAGTCGTCGCCCCTAGACGCCGAAATTGGCCCACTTTGCAGCCCCATTTTGGCGAATAAAGGGCCCATATTCGGCGTGGTTCGCCGTGTGTCGGCGTTCAATTATGAACACAATTTTTTCTTACAACATATTTCATCACAGAAAAATCAAATACTTCAACAAAATAGTACAACAACAAATAGTTCAATACAAATTATATAGTTCAACAAATAAAAACTCGTATTTCATCACACGACGTCCCCCTTGAGCCTCCATAGGTGCTCAATCAGATCTTTCTGCAGTTGATGATGCACCTGTGGGTCTCGGATCTCCTGACGCATACTGAGATAGGCAGTCCAAGTTCCCGGTAGCTGGTGTTCAACTTCGGCTAGAGGACCCTGCCTGTAGTATGGTTCAGTGTCAAACACTGGGTCTTCTTGCTCGCTCTCGATGATCATGTTGTGCAAGATGACACAGAAAGTCATAATCTCCCACATTTGATCTTTGGACCACGTCTGAGCGGGGTACCGGACAACAGCAAATCGAGATTGGAGCACACCAAATGCCCGCTCGACATCCTTCCTGCACGCCTCCTGAATCTTCGCAAACCAGGCGTTCTTGCCTCCTGGCACAGGGTTTGAGATGGTCTTCACAAATGTCGACCATCTCGGGTAGATGCCATCAGCTATATAGTACCCCTTGTTGTAGTGCCGCCCATTGATCTCGAAGTTCACCGGAGGAGAATGACTTTCAACAAGCTTGGCAAAGACAGGAAAGCACTGCAGCACGTTGATGTCATTGTGAGTTCCTGGCATACCAAAGAAGGAGTGCCAAATCCAGAGGTCCTGTGTGGACACCGCCTCAAGCACCACACTGCAATCGCCTTTGGCGCCTTTGTACATCCTCTACCAAGCAAATGGGCAATTCTTCCATTTCTAATGCATGCAGTCGATGCTTCCAAGCATCCCAGGAAATCCTCTTGCTGCATTTTGTGCTAGGATCCGAGCAGTGTCTTCCGCATTGGGTGTTCTCAAGTATTATGGTCCAAACACTGCCACCACTGCCCGACAGAACTTGTAGAAACACTCTATACTGGTGGACTCGGCCATGCGCCCATAGTCGTCGAGTGAATCACCGGGAGCTCCATATGCAAGCATCCTCATTGCTGTCGTGCACTTCTGGATGGAGGTGAATCCAAGAGCGCCGGTGCAATCCATCTTGCACTTGAAGTAGTTGTCGAACTCCCAGATTGAATTCACAATCCTGAGGAAGAGCTTTCGGCTCATCCGATAACGGCGCCGAAATGTTTTCTCGCCGTGAAGTGGAGCATCGGCGAAGTAGTCGGAGTAGAGCATGTAGTAGCCTTCGAGAAGATGCCGGTTCTTTGCTTTCACCCGCCCAGGCGCCGAGCCACCTCGCCGCGGCTTTTCATCGCTCGCCAGCAGCTGGGCGAGGGCGGCGAGCACCATGAGATGCTCTTCTTCCTGGACGTCGGCCTCGGCTTCCTCCTCCAGCAGCGCGGCGAGCGCTTCCTC